CCTCCTTTATCCAGAGTTATCCTTTAAAAATGTAGGCTAGGTCATGTCATTCCTCTCCTCAAAAATTCCAACAGCTTCCCAGCTCACTCAGAATAAAAACTACAGTTCTTCCAGTGGCTTCCAAACTCTACATTATATGACTTTACATTCTCTAGTCTCCTTGACATTTCTGGAACATGCCAAAGCATGCTTCCATCTCCAGTATTTGCTCTTACACATTCCTGCACTTTTTTACACTTCTTCCCAATGTCATTAAAATCAGGGAGGCCTTTGCTGACCATCTGACATAAAATAGCAACACTTCCACAGCATGTATCACATTTTAGGTATCCTTTTAAAAAATATTGTCTGATTTCCCTTACTAGAATGTAAGCTCCATATGAACAAGTCCTATTTGGATGAGGGAAATTTATTTTGTTATTCTTTATAGGAGAGCCATGGGATATGTAAAAGCAGGCCATATACAATATTAAGTGGTATTTCTGGAACTGATTCAATTTAAGAGATTGCCAAAGAAAATTAATTCTTATTGGTTAAAAAATTAATTTATCATGTAATGTCAAATTTAAATATATTTCATACGGCATTTGAATCACTAGAAGTATCATCCCCAATAAATAAGCAGATAAGTTCAAAATTTAACTACCAAAATGAAAGAATTTATATTTCTTAGATTATACTCAAAATATTGCTACATTTAGTAGGTAAAAATATAAAATGATCAAAAGTAATTATGACAACAGTAACAATAAACTGTAATAATAAATAAATTTGACTTAACAATAATTTTAAATTTATTTATAGTTAATATAGAATCCACTTCAATATATGTAACTATATCCCATATGCCTATGAGCCACAGGGAAAAAAAACTATAGGTGGATTATAATCATGAATTATGTTTTTCAGGTTTGTCATGCTTAGATTTTCTTGCCCCAAACCATCCATAGTATTTTTCCAGAATATGTCTCTTATTCTCCAAATTTTGGCTGGCATACAGGTCAGGACCAAGGAGGAAGAGAAGTATCTGTCAAGTCATTTCCAGGTTAAACAAAATTGGAAAAGTATGCAGGCCAGGTAGGTAGTTTACAATGAGTCTTTAAAATTACGACACATCTACCATGTCCCAAATTGTATGTACATAAAACAGTGCAGCAATTATTTTCTCCCTAAAAATGCTTATTATTTCCTCTCATATTATAGTTAGACTTCCTTATCTAGTCTTCCCTTCCAGTCCTTTACCTACAGCAGAATCCCAGTAAAGCACATAACTTCATTAGGAAGAATAAACAGGGTGAAGTTAATAACACCAAAAGGATCATAGCGGACTTTTCCCCTGGCAGGACAGGGAAAGGTTGCTTTTCCACATTATAATCACGTACACATACCTCAATATATCAGTTCACAGGCACAAAAGCCACTTCGTTTTTGGGGTTTTTTTGTTTGTTTGTTTGGTTTTTGTTTTTTTTTTTCCTAGTTCTGGAAGTATACAACTAGAGTAGGAAAAAGAAAACTGGCTATTCATCCACTGGCCAGTTGAATCAAATCACAATTAAGATAGTGACCTATATTATGGTATAAACATCAGATCTTAATCTTAGATATTACGTTTCTGCATTTGTATAAATGATAAGTGTCACTCAGATTATTTCTTTCAGCACTGCAATTCTGATGAAGAAATGTATCCTTCCTTGCCTCCCATTTTTCTCCAGGACAGTAATATTTTTCAACAAACTATAGTTGAGCATTTCTTATGCTTATGAAGACAGAGTTTTCAAAAATGTCTGATAATTTAAATGACAGGTTTGTAGTATGTTATCTATTCAAATTATTTAAATAAATGATTTATTTAAATAAATAAATTATGCTATAAATGAAAATATTTATAGCATAATCTAAATTTAAGAAAACATGAATCTATGGTATAAGAGCAACTCACAATAAACAAAGTGAGCATTTGATTCATAAGTTACTATTTTTAACACATTTGAAATAATCAATTGCTATGTTTAAGAAGTAATAATATCCATAATAAGATATCCAAACATGAAAAATAAGTCTAATGAAAAATTAGTTAATTTTTTTCTCTTAGATGAATCCCTGACTTCTATTTTTTTTTAAATTAGATATTTCAGAGAAAGAAACTTGCACACAATTAAATAATAAATTTCAACTATTTCCATAGCTTTTATCTCTCAAATTCATCTATCCTCAAGTGTTTCTTTTATCTTACTGATAAATCTTGCAAAAGCCCCAATTTATCCATCTACATCTCCCTCTGAACTTCAAATATAATTAGAAAAACATAAAAAAAGTTCAAACCAGTTACAAAAGTTGACAAATGATGCCAGTTGAGATCTTTTTGAAAAATTCCACTTCCCTTTAAGTCAACAGGTCAAAATTACTCACAGATGGAGGCAAGGGTCTTCAGAAAATGAAAACTTATTTTGGCTGTTTCAACCAACAGATTTAAAATGTTCCTGATCCATAGGGATAAATGTGACCCTCAATGGCCAGATGATCAATCTGACCTGATTGATGATCAAGGCTTGATAACCTTGAAGCTTTAGGCTGCAGAGCTCAGTATGCAGCTTGCTAAAGCTCTTCTTCCCTTCTTACAGAGGACACTTGTGAATCAAAAGCAGCACCTTCTTCTGGATGAAGTTGAGGTAATCTTTGGGGTAATCCTTGGCATCATCCTTTTTTGTGGGTGAGGATGGGGGAACTGGGAATTTACCTGGATTGCCTAACTACCAAATCATATCCCTGGACCTGTTGATTTTTTTTTTATTTTGTCACAGTGTCTCCATAAGTTGCTTAGGGCTTCCTTAAATTGCTGAGACTGATCTGGAACTCCCAATCCTCTTGCTTCTGCCTCCTGAGTCACTGGGATTACAGGTATGTGCTACGTACCCAGCGGCATCATCCATTTCTAATTGCACCAGGACACACATTCCCCAGGACACATGGAGAGCCTTATCCACCATCACATGTGTCTTGATGGTCTCCAAAATATATACGATGAACTGGTTCATGCCCTCTAGGACTAGGGATTTCAATACCTTAGACTCTTTCCTTCCACAGATGATTTGAGGACACTGAACACTTTGGCATATATTCCTACTAGCAGTTCAGTAATCCCCTGCTTGGCTTTATGTGAGCCAAGCACTACCTGGCCTCAACTTGCATTGAGTTAATATCATCAACTTTGTAAAAAATACAGTTTGGAGCCCCACTGCCCATCTGATTGTCCCCACAATGGAGACATGGGAAATCTTGAATCCCCTCATCTTTAACATATTGTCAACAAGTTAAAATAACAAGGTAAAATGTTCTGGGTTCAGACCCTGGATCTTAGGATCTAAGTAGCAGGTGCTAGGCCTCCCTCAGACTGTTGGCCATTACCTCCACTGGTCCCATCCAAAGCAGAGATACTGCCATAACCCCCAAACACACTCACTTTTATCTTAAAGATAGCTTTAGCAGGAGAGGAGGTACAGTTTGTCTCTTGTCAGGGCTGCTCCACAGGCTGCCTAGGAGATCTACCTGGGGCAACAATGGAATGTACATCACAGCCACACCACACTACTTTCAGAGCCAATCAACTACTGAAATGCAGCTGCCTCAAGCCAATCAGGGCCTGCCAGGCACCTGCTTGATTTATTAACCCTTTGGGGATATGAGGCTCCTTATTGTTCTGCATTTTAAAAGATGCACACATAATTTCAAGCTTTCCTGATTCTTTTTATAAAAAATGAATTTCAATAATTTCCCCATTTATTTCTGAATGTCACAACTTCCATAGTCACTTATTAAAATATTTATTTACTCAATCAATCTACTGTTCAATAGATTATGGAGCACCTAAGTGCTGAGTGCTAACATAGGGTGCTGCAGGTATATTGGGTAGGAGTGGGGGTACATGGTGGTTACTGTTCTCTACTCACACCAGTTGCTCAAATCATTTACTAAAAGCATTATGAAAGAAAGAGCAAAATAGGCACCTATGAACAATTATCATACTCCAAAAAATGCATATTTTATCACAGTCTTTTAAATGTTGTCATAAATTTTTTCCAATTATTTTGGAAGGTGCACTAATATTTTAATTACTGATATATCTGAATTTATAAATATATCCAAACTGAATGACTGAGCTCTAAATTATTTTCAAGGCTCTGGGTACAGATCAAAATGGTACAAGACTTGAGCCTATTGAATATTAAGAAAAACATGAATAAAATCATGTTTTTGTATACTCTTATCTAGTAAATTCTTAACTCAAGATTCCAGCAACTGTGTAAACAGATCTTAAAGTGTTGCAATGTTACAATGCAATATATTTTTCTTTATATACATTTTAATTTGGATATTAATTTAAAGGCTTTATATGGTTAATAAAGGAATAACAGTCTCTACAATCCATCACTGGTAAGTACTCTGTTCCTTAAAAATAATTTTGAGCTATGTAATAGCCTAAATGTGTAAAGTTTTAAATAGTTTGTTAATATTTTCTGTATCATTTCTTCTATTGGTTAAAATAATTTCATTTCTATCTCAAAATTATAGAAATATGTGAATATTATATGTAAAATTGTTAAAGTATATGAAATTATATATAACTCTCAGGTTTAAAGTAAATAAAATTCTAGAGCTAAATATACTTAATTTGTTTCATAAGTAAATATGTTACAATCATTATCTGGATACACAAATAGCTTTCCATGTAAATGTGGATATTTAATTTCTATCTCTGTTTTATACAATAAAGAATAATTAAATATTCAAGTAATATATGTACCCTTAAAAATTACACATTATTAAAGACCAGATTAACTAGATATATTTTTAAATGTTTACAAATTAATGCTCAGACATTGCTATTGTATTAGTTAATATAAGAGCAAAATCTTGAGGTTAATATAACTGATTATATTCCCCAAACAATAACATATAGCATGAATTGTATGAATCATACCAAAATCATAAGAACCATCTACCTGACAGGATTGCTGGTTAAAGAAACCCTCAGGGATTCTAGGCAGTTAAGAAGTTTCTCATCTGAAATACCAGATCTTAATTCATGAACATATTCTTGTGAAGACAGGGTACATTCATGCTTGCTGTTTTTCAGACCACCCTATTAAAAAAGAGAGACAACTTTAAACAAACAAGTTATATTTTAAACACTTAAAAGTAAACAATGCATAGAATATATAAGTCTATAAATACTTTACCATCTAAAATATTTGCTGTACTAGGCACTTAAACATACTTGATCTCTGTAAGCAGATCTTAAAGTGTTTAAAGAACTGAGGGGTAAAATTGTATCGTATATATTGCAACATCTTCCTCATTATCATTTAAAAGAAAATTCCACTGCTGGTGCTCATGACATAAAGAGAATATGGACATAAATTATATGAAGTTTTGCTTATGTCTAAACTTATAATTCAGGCATTAGGATTAAAATTACCCAGTTCTTTTAACCCAAAGAATGAACACTAAAAAATCATGATATTAATTTTCCTAGTTAAGATATTCATATTCAATTTCACAAAATATGTAAAACAAACTGAAAGATATATCAGAATATCACATCTCAAAAACCAAGTGAAAACACTTATTAAATGGAAAACAATATAATCTCCAATTAGAATGTTAAATAATTAAATCAGTGTAAAGCATTCACTAATTCCAAGGTATTCCTTCCTGTTACTCCCAGGTTGCAGATTAATTTTAAAAAGTCATTAAATACATTTATCTGTTAGCTACTAGTTTTTAGCTTAATTTCTAATATACATGGGGTTACTTCCAGAACTCATTATCTTATCACAGTTCCTTAGCTTCATCACCTTGCTATAACTATATAAGTAGTTCAGGGAAAAGACTAGGAGAGAAACACCATCAACACATTCACTAGATTAATAACTCATAGCTTCACATTCTAGACATACCCAGTCATAACTGTTACTTTCCTATGCTATAAATGTATTCTCCTGAATTAAGACTCTAGCTAGATTCCCTTTTCCCAAGTTCATACTAATTACCCTAAGTTTATACTGAGTATCCAAGCCAATTACCCCCACTGGGTAGAAGTTATATCATTAGAGTACAACGATTTTTTTTAAAAAAAACAATGTGTTAATAATGAGAAATTGGTTCCCTAGAGTTTCATACTATTTGACTTTTTAAGAAATGCCTCCACAATATAGATATTATAAATAATTTTTAATTTTTGAATTTTAATAAATTCCATTAAATAATAAATGTTAAAAGTCTGAAAAAGGCTTACAGCATATAAAGAAACTCTATTTGCTTATAGTACTGTGGCTATATTCACTATTACAATACCTAACATATTCCAGTAGAAGCTATCATGTGTGTCTATCTCTTCCACACTGGAAACACCATGTAAGCCAAGTGCCTAACAGAGTGCCTGAATTTAGTGAGCCTCAACAAAAATGTGCTATTCTTGGTTTTACTAATAACAATTACAGAAGAAGAAATATAGTTTCACACTCTAGCTCCCATACTTTGTGCAATAATCACTGATTAAACTTTTTTTTTTGTGTGTGTGTGTGTGTGTGTGTGTGTGAGAGAGAGAGAGAGAGAGAGAGAAATTTTAATATTTATTTTTTAGTTTTCGGTGGACACAACACCTTTTTTATTTTTTAATAAGGTGCTGAGGATCGAACCCTGTGCCCCGCGCATGCCAGGCAAGTGTGCTACGACTTGAGCTACATCCCAAGAACCCCCCCTTTTTTTTGTTAACAGACACAGTAGATGTTCAAGAAGTTTATGGATGAATCACCACACAGATGGCATAGTAAAAGCATCACTTTGAAAATATGTCTACATTCCTGCAATTTATCTACCCATCTCTTATTCAACAAGTAACAACACCAAGTAGACATTTGTATCATAATTCTGAAATAATATTTTTGCTCAACCAACTCACTTTTCACAACAATGAATGGAAATATTCACTGTATGCCCCAGTCTGAAAACTACAAGAAGTTAAAATTTTGCCAGTCTACAGTCTCATATCAATTTCATACAATACTCATACAATAAAATACAATAATACAATAATACTCATACAATAAAATACAATAATACAATAATAATACAATACTCATACAATAAAATACAAACTTATTTTCTTAATCAATAGGTTTAAAAGATCCCTATTGATCCTACAGTAGAACCAGGCTTGTATATAGAGCTTCTTCTTTTGTTCTTTGCCATTTTCTCTGCCTGAAAGATCCAGCTCAACATTTCCGCTGCTGGTTCACATCTTTTAAGTCCCCTCTCCACATTCTAGTATCATTACAACATTGTAGATCTCATTGACAGTACTAGCTTAATGTAAGTTTATCTTGTTTAGTTATCAAGCTGTTTACTGGGTCTTCCACAACAGAACATGAGTTCTATGAGGTAGGAATATTGTCTGCCTTGTTTATCACTCTGTCCTGAGATCCTAACAAAGTGTTTGTCACACAGTAGGCATCCAATACATATTTCCTGGAAGGAAGGGAGGGAGGGAGGGAGGGAGGAAGGGAGGGAGGGAGATAGGTGAATGAATGATGAGTTTCAACATGCTGGAGCATCTAAGCTTAGTTTAGGTTTCCTTCAGAATATTATAGGTTCTGAAACTTGCAGTTAGAATATATTCAGAAATGCTGAGTACAGAACAGGTAAACTGCGACACTGTGAGCTGTAGACAACTTAGACTTTACCACCTTGTTTGATTCATGGTTCTAATCATTTATCTTCTGGCAATCTCCAGGAACATTATTAACTGATCTCTATAACCCAATTAGCTCAACCATGACAAAGGGTAAAGAAATACCTACCACTCAGGTTTACTATGAGGATTAAGACAGGCATTCTGTGTGTTTGTGTGTGT